TGTGCACACATACATAAATGCAAAAATTGTGCTATAAATGGCAGAAATGGTTACCGCTAAGCAGTTGCACGTACATACTCGTATATGCATACATACATTTGTACATACATACATACATTTAGGCGAAAAGCCGCTGCATTTACCGGCGGCGCCGCCTTTGGCCATTCTTATTATACTATGCATAGTTGTTGTTGCCTTAATGAGGCGGCCAAACGAACGGTGGTCACTTAGTTACGAGCAATCTAGCCATATGTGTATGTATGTATGTAGATATGCATGGGCCGATCCACGCCAAATCGACGAATGATTGGAAAGGACTATTTTTGATTTGGATGAATTTTGGTCAGAACTTTTCTTTTATCATATAACGTACATACATAGCTCTAACAAAAGAAACAAAAAATTTCGGAAGTTAAAAATTTCAAAATTTCCTGGATTTTGAAAAAATATTATATTTACAAAAAGGGTTCTGATCTCTTAAAAAAAAAATAAAAATTACGTAATTTTGAAATTAAAAAAATTGTAAAAGCAAAAACGTATACACTTTTTGGCTAAATGTTTTAACACAACGCCTCCAACTGATCTTAAAACATCCTGTGTTTTTAAGTTAAAAATTGTTGAACTTTGTTAAACAAAATTAGCAAACTTTAAATAAAAAAAATCATATTAAATACAAATTGTTTTAAATAACTTTATGCAGAACTCTAAAAAAATTCTTTTTTCAACTTTCAAAAATTGATGGCTCTAAAAAAATACCTTGAAAATTTTAGGACCTTTTAAGAACAGTAGGAGATAATGTATAAAATGTAAAAAACTAAGCCAAACGTTTTCATAGGTTTTTTGCTTTTATGATTTTTTTTGATATGAAAACTCTTAAAATTTTTTTTTTTTGAACCATTTTTGTAACTAAATATAAGAGTTTTTGACATATTCAAAAATATAGAACTTTCAAAAATTTTGACATTTTACCATTTTTTTTAAATAAATTTAAGTAAAATAAAAGTTGTTTGACAAAACTTTGTGTAGATCTTCAAAAAAAATAGTTTTTAAGTCTCAAAAAATGATATCTTTAAAAAAACCTTGAAAAATCCGTTGAGTAGGATATATGTATAAAAAATGAAGTCAAAAATGTGTATGAGTTTTCATTTTAAAGATTTTTTAATTTCAAACTTTAATTTTTTAGATTTTTTTTTGATTTTTCTTGATTTACATTGTAATACTTCGGAGAAAAAGTTTCAAATTTGGGTAAAAATTTGTTGCATTTATTTGTAGTTTTGTACAAAGTTTTAAACCTGGGTTTTATGTGTTTGTTTTAGAGAATGAACTGGATTTTAATTGAAAATTTTTATACATAAATAAATAAACATGAGTGGCAAAAAACATCATTTTGAAATGTGGGTGCTATTGATACGATTGTGTGTTTATATAGACCAAATATCACCTTAAAACGAGACCATAACCATTTTTCTTATATACGACTTTTTGAGATACAGGTAAAAACATTTCGAATTTTCATAACTTTCGACAATTTTTAATTTTTTTTCCTTTAGGCAAAACTTTTTTATATTGTGAAAAAAAATTCTTCCAAAATTGATTCAAAACAAAAATCATTGCTCGATTTGACAAGGATTGACCCATAAGTATGTATGGAGATTACATACATACATATGTATGTAGTACGTATAAGTATGTTTGTATATTCGCGAAAGCAGTCCAATTGACATTAGTCGATTATTAGCGCAAAAATCGCCTGTATGTGTGTGTGTTTTCATTATCTGCCCCGGCTGTGAGAATTAACATTTTCATTATGTTTATTATTGCTTTGCGTCTTTTTCCTATACAAAAGTATTTACATTTTCCGCGCGTTACCAATTTGTTTTTGTGCACTCGCTCGCATGCACACACACAAATAACACCCATTCACTTGCATATACCTACATATGTACATATTTACAAATATTGGCGGAAAAACATAATCGTATACAACATTGGCCACTTTTGTAAAAGTCAATAAACGCATAATCGCTATTGCAGTCGCCGCCGTTACCATCAACGTTGCTGCCATCATCATTGTGCTCAGTTGGGTCGATTGGTTGAATTCATTTGCATTCACATTCTTATTTGTGGCGCTCTTCTTCTTCTGCTTCTTCTGCTGCTTCTACTTCTTGTTGCACGCTGCAACTCAACTGGAAAATATTGCCGCTGCTCATAAACACATTTGTGACAGCTTTGTGAGATTGCTTGCATTTATATGTACATACCTACATACATATCGATGGCTGAGTGGAAGATCGACCTATCTCGGCAGCCAGTTCGAAAACGCTCTATCTCAAAAAACTTTTCAAGAACGCCCTATTTCAGAATTTAATGGAAAAACACCCTACCTCAAAATTCGGTTCAAAAACGCCCTATCTCACTTCAAAATGTATTGAAAATATACTGATATAGGGCGTTTTTGAATCGGCAGCTGAGATAGGGCGTTTTTGAAACGAATTCTGAAATAGGGCGTTCTTGAAAAGTTTTTTGAGATAGAATGTTTTCGAACTGGCTGCCGAGATAGGTTGATCTTCCACTCAGCCATCGATATGTACATATTTTTATAGCAATAAAAATTTGCTTGTAGGCAGCAAAAACAGCTCGCTGCTTGCTTGTCCCCTCTTCTGCGGCGCATATTTGTGCGCATTTTTTTTTATTGCCTACACTTGCTGCTATAACGCGCTTTATCGAATGTCAACTAAGCAGGTGGGTTGGCTAGCTACATACATAGCTGGTGCATAAGCAAATCGGCATGCAGCAGCGGCCGTTGGCGTTGCCAATTGCGCGCTTAATGTGCAACACTTTTGATTGCTCATCAACACAAAAGCGGTTCCCGGCTCTGTCATTAAGGGCAACTTTACATGCAACTAAGTAATGTTAAAATATCAAAAAAAAAGGGGGTAATGTCTTTCTTTTAATTGTGTATGCAGTTAAGGTGAAATCTGGATGCTTAGAAAGAAATTAGTAGCTACGTGTTTTTTTTGTTTTTGTTTTAAAAAATGGGACAACATTTTCAAAGCTCTCGGCTTCATCGAAATCCGTTTGAGGCAACAAATGGGATTTGAACCCAAGGATTGTACTTATATATATATATATAGTCCAGCAACTATGTATATCCCAATAAGATCATACCAAGGAACTGAACCAAAGCAAACCCCGCACGAAATTCCCCAGTCGCAGTAACCGAATTTCAGGAGTGAGCTGGTACTTAGACCGAGATTGCAGGTGCACATATTTTCTCAGATAGCAAGGTATAGCATTTCAGTCTTCCGCCTTTTGCTCGGTTAGGTCGCAACTTGTCGCGAACTGTAGCGGGTCGTTAGCCTCAATTTATGTTCAGTTCGAAACTACCTTTAAATGTACCCTAGGGCAGATGAACAAATACGGGAAATAGACAGCGGCTCGGCACATTGGTGGACTTGGACGCCTTGCGCTTCAAATACAAATATTCCGATGAATTGATAACAGATCAGAGCAAATACACATTTAAAACAAGAAACAGTTTTATTATCAGCGCTCGTCCCTCGGCAGCCAATGACACACCTCCGAGTGCATTTGTGACTTGAAAAAAGCTTCTAATAAAACTATTCGCCGTTCGGAGGCCGCGTAAAGTTGCAGGTCCCTGCATTTCTTTTTTATATTACGGTGCATAAGACAAATTGGAGGAGAAGCTCAGCCAAAGAATAAGCGAATGTGTAAGCACCAAATCTTTATTTTTTTAATATGTTAGTAGGTATCTATATAATTTTTTGATTAAAATTTTCTCACAAATTTTTTTAGTAAAAATTGTATGTTTTCGGGAGGTAAAATTTTAAATTTTTGATTTATTTGTTTTATAAATCTCAAAATAGAAAATTTTCAAATCCTAACTTAAGTCATTACAAATGCTTTTTCGCTTTCTTGGAAGCATATGCGTTTTTAATGCTTTTAAAAATACGATTTTCTAAATTTTGTATAAATTTCTGAATGAAAATTCGAAAATTTATAATAACCCACTGGGAAAATAGGTAAGCACCTTACGAGGTAAGCCATGTTTTCTTTCAGTTTTTAGTACCAAAATTGTCATCATGACCAGCGTAATCTACTAGTTAAGCACAAAATGAACACCTCCGGCGACACATTACGTTGTCAGTTGCAAAATAACGTGCAGCCGAAGTTATTTCCAAGCACCGAACTACTCCGAGCGACTGCTCTGTATTACACGTAACTTACTTTGTAAAGCGACTCAGAAGTATGTTTGATAGCAAATGTACATTCTAAATTCCTACTTACATAAGGCGGCCATGCCTTTGTAAAAGTAAGGGACGTTCGGCAGGGAAATGGTAATGACTGCCAGGTGAAGAGTAAGTTGCTAATAAGGTATTATTACGTGCTCCTAATTCCCACTGGGAATCTATTTAGTACAATTTCTGTTTTAAAGTCAGTCGAATCTCAGTAAAAAGCCTAGCTAATGGGCTTTATCTGTTTTCAATTATTGTTGATGGTTTCAAAATAATTGAAAAAAAAAATCCAGGAAGGGAATTTTATATTTTTGATTTGAAAGTTGCTCACTCATCCTTTATTAGAGGATAGGAAAAAGAAGAAATTTTAAAATATCTTTTTTACGATTATTTTATTTTAGTATGTATTAAATTTTTTTTTTTATTGAGCTGGAAGCCGTTATTAATGAAATATTTATTGTGGAAATGACAATAGCTTACAATAATATTTTTGACTATGATTAGCCCAAAAAATAGCAAAATCGTTTTTTTTTTTATTAAACCCAAAAAAATTTTGACATTAGAAATTTGCGTAATTAATAGTTTTTGAAATACTTTATGATGAATTTAGTTTCTAACTTAAATTTTTATTTAATTTTGAAAAGAAAAAATCTTTAAGTTTCTATGTCGCAGATTATAATCGCCTGTTAAAATTTTTCTGCATTATATCAGCTCAATATTGTTTTGCATTAAATTCAAACTCACCTAATTATTTAAAGAAGTTATCTGCCTTCTGCTTGCTGTAATCCAAAGTGTGCTTTTGCAGTTTTTTTGCCAATTTTCATTCGCTCGAATTTATTTGGATATATTTTTCTCAAATTGGTTTATTTTTCGCCAGCACTGTTAATTTTAGAGCGCTTCCTTACACTTATTTGTGTTTTGTTTTTTCTTTTTATCGGAAGCAGCCTTTTTATTATTTCTCACTCAGAAGTTTCTTTACAACACTTTTTCGACACTTCTTTTTTAGTTCTGGCAACACAATAGCTTACTGCTTGCCTTATTTTATTTTATTTTTTTAATTTTTTTTCGTTGCACTTTTACGCTGACGCTGCCGTTGCCACACAATGCATTCTCAAGTCCTTTGCTGAATAGTGTTTCTTCTGGGTTTTTGTTTATGTTTTTGTTGCCAAGCAATTATTTTAGATTGCGTGCCTCAGAGCTTCCGTTGCTGCTGTTGAATGCACCCCGTTGCCGCTGCCCACCACAACTTGCTGGCGCATAATTCAAAATTCATGAAAAAGACGGCAATTAAAGTATTCACAAAATTTAATTTCTCACTTTTTTTTTGTGCAATAATTTTGTTACTATTGTTGTTGCTCTTTTGTGAATTTGTTCGCTTTCATTTGCTGGCAGAATTCGTTTCAGCTTTTTTAAGCTTTTTTTGCTAATATTTCAGTTAGTTTATTTGCACTTTTAAATAAATTTTTCAATACATACAAACGCTAGCTAGCGTATTTATTCACGTGGCTTTGTCATTATTAGCTTTGTTATTTTTAATTCTGATTTGATATTCTTCTTTGAACGGGATATTTATATTTTCTTTCAGAATTTTGTTTTTTTGTTTTTTTTTTTCTTCAGAATTTTCGTAGGCGTAGTGAAAGGGAAATCGTTGAGTAAATGTTGTTGTTGTTGTGCGTTTGAGTGAATTAATTGTTCAACAATTTTTAGTTAAATTTATTTTACGTTATTTCGCGCTAATGCACATTTTTGTTGTTGTTTTTGATGAAATTTCGTACGCTCACACAAAATTTTGAGTAATTTCATTTGGCTACACACCACCAATCAACCAATCCGTTTATAAATAATACATAAATCCACTACGTAAACTCGTTCGCGTTCCGCACGCAACTGTTTGTGAATTTCATGTTGCCGGCCCTCAAATACCAAATCGAAATCCAACTGTCTAGTATTGGATGGTTGCTTGGTTGCTTGGTTGGTGGTTCTCTGTTTCTGCCTCTGTTCGGTTGGTTAGCTGGCTGGCTGATCGGACGTCCAATTCGGCGCGTTCGAGCGCGATTCATACAGAATTTCTTTTGTATCTTATAGCTACTTTGCCAAAGGTAAAACAGCTGAGCGTTCCATACATGTTGGACGTAGATGGTTTTTTTTCGATTCTGCTTTTGCTTTGGATTCCGATATGTCGCTGGCTATTGCACCTTGCTTGCTTCCGACCCATCTGTGAACGTCGTCGCTTCATACCTTTGCATTGCATTCAATGCACTTTATGAACTAATACCTACGTAAATACATATGTGTGCGTGTGTGTGTGTGTGTGTGTGTTTTTTTGCTGCTTCGCTTGCATGCTCAAGTGTTTGTACCATATCCGTTTACATGTTTTGGGATACTTTAAAAGGCACACTCCAAACGGCAGCTGTTACCTACCGACACCAGCTGCCTTCCTCTTGGCCTGTTCTGTGTGTGTGTGTGTGTGTGTGTGTGTGTGCGCGTGTAGTCTTCAAATAAGTTGTAGTTGCAAGCGCATATTTACCGTTGGAACGGAAGGAAGTCTACGCACACAAGCAGCTTCATACAGCCATGCATACAAGCGCGCACTAACACACACATTGATTGATTGATTGATTGATTGATTAGGTCCCGTAGATAGAAAAGATTAATAAACATAAGAGTGCAAGTGGAAATAAAATTGATTTAAATACTGATGACTTATTTTTTGCATAGTTTATTTTCTAATTATTTCATTTGAATTTTAATAAATTGCAACTTAATTGACTCCATTATTTTTTGAGTTCAAATTTATGTCGATATTTTGATATAATACCGATACACTTCTTCCTATATACTAGGTATGTTTAAATGTGCATATATTTCCACTGAGAATATGTTCTCTGTTTCCACCTATAAATATATATATGTAGACAAACTTAAGTATATTTTCTTTGCTTTTGTTAAATGCTTTCAAACATGTTGCAATTTGAGTTCAACGTTGTTCGATTTATACTATAGAAAAACCGCCGTATAAGAGTTTGGTTTAAATTTGTATGAAGAGTCGTCCCAAACTGGTATTGTGGGGCAGCCCCAGTTGAGTAAAAAATCATTGCAATGTGCGCTGTCTTCGTGCTACGACGCATAAGTTTTAAGTAGGCGATTTTATAGCATCTAAATGACTAGAGATTTACGTATTTTAAGTATGTGGTATTTGCATTCTGAGATTAATAGAACACCGCACCATGTAAACTTACTCACTTAAGATAGAACGCACAAAGGTGATGACATTTCTATATATTGAAGGCGCCAAGTACGAATTATTGCTCACAGCACAAACGGCTTTATAAACCGACTCGCCTCTGGTGACGCACGTGGATCAAATAGTCACATGCTGGTGCTGCGGACAAAATTTGCAGTAACCTCGTTAGGAAAATACACTTTTTTTAACCCAAACTAAATCTCCTACCGTCCAAGTCCCGATTCCCCCGGTGCCATCGTCAAGTCTTTCGTCGTCGGGAGTTGGTTTGAGCACAAGGCTCCAGTCCGCGCCTATACTTCGAGTGCTTGAATTTCGAGACCGCACAACCTAGACGGCTGGAACGGCCTAGGAATTTTAGGTTTAAGATGCGGGCTGGGAGCACAGGTTTCTAAGCCGCACCGCACCTCCTCTTCGGGTGCATGAATTTCAAAGCCGCACTGTCTTGGCTGCCGGAGCGGCCTAAGTTCCACTCCGCGTCTACGTTTTGGTTGGTGAACTTTGTGGTTTGGTTCCAATTCGCGGCTATGCTTTCAGTTGGTTTAATACGCCGCTGTCTGTATAAGCTCCTCAGTTATTTCAGAACTGAAGCTAGTATGTCGCTGATTGATGCCCATTCACTGGCTCCTTTCATCATATAATCGACTAGTGACTGTGGCGTTAACACCACTCTAACAGTTAGTCTCAATTGGTTAGTCTGCTGGCTGAATTGAGGGCACTCAAAGAATACATGGCGGCGTCTTCTTTCACGCCCCTTCCGCAGTAGTCGCAGTATGGATCGTGCTCATGTTTGAATTTAAACAGGTATACCTTATAACAGCCATATATGCTCAAGAACTGACTCGGGCAAAAATCTACTTCACCACGCGTTCTATTAAGCTAGGATGTCAGGTTTGGTATGCATCGATAGGTCCAACTCCCCTTAGTCGTACTATCCCAGTTGTTTTACCACTCCGTAATGCTGCTTTCTTGGGCTCGACTTGGGTCTAATTGAGCTAGAGCATGCGGCGAGGATGCAAGGACCATGGATTGTCTCGCCAGTATATCTACGGGTATCATACTGGCGATTACGAAAGCTGCTTCGTCCGACACTGCTCTGAAGGCGCTGAAAGCTCGAAGCGCACACTAACGATATGTAGAGTTTACTCCACGGAAGTATGCTGGGCACTGTGCTGCATTTACCAGATTAGGCCAGCACTATTCGCAATAGTCCCGTTTTCATTGAAGTTGCTTTTTCTCTCCTATAGCTGAAGTGGGCGCTGAAAGTAAGATGCTTGTCTGGCTCCTATGTATTTCATTGTGGGTTTCCTCATAAAGATTTGCGCGATTAGGTATTTCGCTCGTCATGCGCGGTGCTATCTTCTTCATACGGACATCAGCTTGAAATCTACTGCTAAGCTGAATGGGAAGAGAACGGTTGGATGGTTATGAAAGGCTTAGCCACCAGAAATACTTTTCTGCAAACAAATATGAAAGTATTACTTAGATTAGATTAGGCGAGGTTGAATTGGCTGCCTGCATACAGTAGAGGAGAAATAAATACTTGGGCCAAAGGTAGAATGATATGTATGAGGTTGCACCTATTTGAGTTCATTTGGCTACTCAATCATAAATATACATATATAGCATGTGGTTGCCTTTGTTCGAAAGGTGATTGAAAGGAAAAGCGCAGAATGTGTTTGTTCTTCCAGCAGGTGGTGCGGGGGTTGAGCTGTCCTAAAAAATTGACTATTATTCGATTACATGGTATTGTGAATGTCGATTTCTCGTTCAATAAGCTATTCTCAGGTTCACTTATTGAATGAGAAAACGGCGTTGAAAATATAATGGATAATCGATAGTCGACTAATAGTCGTTTATCTACTGCTAGTCGACACTCGCATGATATTCATCAAATCTTTCTCGATTTAGGGTGATGATGTTTTAAGCAAACAATTATGAGTATAAATACATACTTCTAGGATTAAAAATGTCCACGGGATAATTATATTTTTACGAAATGATGAAGTGGAAATGAAAAAAAAAACACAATTTTAGTGAGAAAATTTCATCACTTTACGAGTATCTTTTAATTATTCATTTAAAGCTATCCTTTGATCATAAATGTCTTAATTATGATAATTTAGCAACTAACTATTTCGTAATGTTTTGTGTTTTTTGCTAATGGCAAAAGTAAGTATCCATGTATTTATATGCACACACACATACATATTTGCTCGTATGTACAAAGTTTATGAGAATATCCTCAGCCTTTGCTTTTGACTTTGTGTTTGACTTTACATTAATGAAAAAATGCCAAAAGCTCCAATACCAAAGTGTGCTGCTAGCCACTAGGATACTTTCGACCCAAGTCAAACTCAACAATAATAAATATGGGAAAAAGTTGTTGAAAAAGGAAACACTCCAAACTATTGCACACATTTTGCTTTCCAATTTTGCAATGCTGTAACAGCACTTTCATGCGTTAGGATCTGGTCCATTGGCTATAGACACGAATCAGCCTTATTATTTGAGTTTGTCGCAATTTTTGATGCATACATACACATACATGTACATACACCTGCGTTCAACTAAATAGAAACAAAATTCAAAATGATCTTGTTTGCAAATTATGTTTATTTTTTCATTTAAAATATAGTTCAATCTGTAACAAAAACCACAACAATAAGTTTCAAAGCTTGCAAAAATATTAATCAAACTTCAAAAAATTGTCATCAAAATTTCCAAATTTTTAATCAGAATATCTATCGGGTATGCAGTTCTGTAGCCCATTCAATTGTAGTCTAAGAAATACCAGGTCTCCAGTCTTGAAAAATTACCTTTGTTTTTTAGATTTTTTTATTGTGGAGGGTGTTGAGGATTTTTTTAATATTAAAAAAAATGATTATGTGTTATATGGATGAAAATGCGCAAATACGAGGTTCAGCCGATTCTTTGACAGGAGCCTTGTAATCGACGGATTTGCGCGTTCCTAATTAGTTCGGCAGGCAATGGCAAACCTCCGAGTGTTGTATTTCTGCCTTCTCATAAAATCCATTTGCCATTTGGAGTGGTGATGTACAGAACTGCGGAATCGGAACCGTAGAACTGAAAAACGGCACTAACGGAACCGAAACTCGATTTCAAAAGAACCGAAAAACGTTTCAATAAGAACCGAAACCAGGATCCAAAAGAACTGAAAAAAGGTTCGGACGAACCGAAACTCGATGCCAAAAAAAAAAAACGAAAAACGGTTCCAAAATACCCGAAAAAGGGTTAACAAAGAACTGGAAAATTATCTCAGAACAACAGAAGAGATAAATAAAAAGAACTCATTCATCAAATAACTCGTAAGCATTCCGGTGCAAAGCCGAGCTTTGGATTTTGAGATCCTTAGCCAAGCTTATCTCTTCGGTCATAGAAGTAAGTGCGGTACGGGGCAAGTGCGCAGATTAGTTAACCTGAAAATTAGCTTCCCTTAATCCCCAGACCCCATGTCTATTTCTCGCGATTCAATCTGCTTCCTTATATCCCAAAATACCACTCTCCCCATAACCAATAGCGGACTGAGGGTAGTATGGACTCGCGAACCCGTGCATCTTAAAAGATTCCATAAGCTACACATTCAACCTCACTGTAAAATTGTGTATGTCCAATCTTTCCAACTACGAAAAATAACACAAACATAAACTAACAACTCGTCTCACTTATTGGCCGCTGGCATAGCTTAGTT